CACTGGATAGCTGGCCAATCACAGCACACCTCATTTTCAGACCGATGAGCTTTGTAACAATCGATGTGTTTCAGAAAGGCGGGGCATAGAGGAGAAACAATAATGTACAGTATGTGGAAAATAATGTGTTTTTTAAACCTTTAACCGCATAAACACATTACATTACACCAAATACACAAAATAATGTTCTTTTTAGCAGCATCATATGACCCCTTTAAAGAGTTTGTATAAATAAAAAGGGTATATTTATTAACAGACTGGAGGACCTTATAGTGAGTGTTTGTACCCACACAACAAACATATAAAATATTGGTCACAGATTGTTGGTCACTTTCTAAATAATAAAAGTATAGCGCATCCACTAGTAATTATATATAAATAAATCGTTTTTTACCGATGCATCGCGATATAAATGCCAACTTGTAGCCGATATACACTTTTTAAACCGATGCATCGCATCGTTAACTTTTTATGCCGATGCACCAAGCGAATCGGGGAATCTTCCCATCCCTAATACAGAGTAATAATTGTAATTTACTGTCTGCGTTTTCATATATAATTACTAAATTCTTCATTTGATCTTTCACTGATTTTAAACATGCTTGAATCGTTTCTTGTTCTCCGATAGTTTGCTCATCATTAGTTCAAACTCTTTGTTCATATAAGTGTCATGTGACTGGCAGAAAGGTGGTTTTTAAGGATGCATCTGCTTGTTATTCTTTTGGGTTCGTGTTGATGCTGTCATATGATCATCTTCCATAGGCACAATCTGTATGTAAATGATGTAACTGATCTATTGCACTCTCAAAAAAACTAAACAACCGTTATAATCACTGAAGCTGTCTACACTGTGAAATGAATCCCTTACATTGTATACATTATGATCAGAGTTCAGTCAGAGAACGCGCGCGCATTCAACAAAGCTGATGCGTTTCAGCGGTGACTCATCCGAACGCTTCTGATTGGCCAGTGCGTTCCTAAGCTCAACAGAGTCGTCTGTGATTGGTTATAACCTACGAACGTTGTTACAGAATGTTAATCAATGCTTTCGAAGTAATGTATATTAACCCTTTGTGCTGTATTTTCTGTTGGCAATTTGACATGCATGCAGTTTTCATACCCTACACTTCGCCAACCACTGAAACATTTCTGGCCTCGGCCCTGAATAAAACGAGGCAGCAGTTTACTGTCTGGGATTTGTCGTGTCACGTCACACCGCGCCGCTTCCAGTGTAGACATCACTAATTATTATGGATTTTAATGTATTTCATCACGCCGTCAAGACTGTGGAATTCGCCTCATGAATTCTGTGCTTCATACATCAATAAACTATTGACTATATAGACTACAACTGATTAGGGCTGCGTTTCCCGATAACGATTGATCTTAGCGCTTAAGAGCGTTTTCTACGAGTCATTTTATGATCGTTCATTATTGTTTCATGTGCATTTCCCAAAAATGCACTTAACACAATCACACGTAGCCGTGCTTTAAGTGCTACTTAGGAGTCGCTATCCATTTGTCAAATGCTGAAAGGTCACCTTATAGCTCGTTTATTGAAATGTTAACCTAATGCTGCGTTCCAGACAACTTCTTTATCTGACCCTTTAACTCTAGCACTCTCTATTCTAATTCTATTCTTTAAAAAAAAAAAAAAAACTCTTGTCCCTTTTAGACTATTCATTTGCTGCTTGTTTTCTTTAAAAAAAAACTAAAACTTGCTTTCTAATATTTTTGTATTCTGTTTTCTTTTCATTTATTATACAATTAACAAAAGCAAAAAAGACCTCTAACACTAGATTGCTCTATTCTTTTTCTATTCTATCTGTTTTCTTTTTATTTATTATATTATTTAAAAAACCCTTGCTACGTGTACTGCGTTAAGCTAACTGAGATTTGTTAATGCACAGCATATACAGTATATAATATAGAGACGTTATTTCCGGGTCCAATACATTGCTGGTTTTCATGCAAGTCAGCAAGTCATTGACAGATTTCCCCCCCCAGTCTTTGAAGCATATTTCCTACATTATTTCTTTTATTAATTTTTTTTGTTCAGTCATTTAATTTAGATGTGTATTTCTATTTTTTTCTGCCCCTTTAAATTAGTTCATTTATATATTAATTTAAAACAACAACAGCAACAAAAACAACAAAAAACAAGTAATAAAGTGTAGAATAAAGTACAATCAAATCCTTATATTATAATCACATTGCACTTGAATAAAGTTAAAGGTGTAATCTGCCGATTGTCCTGCAGGTGACCGCATAACTCTGTCTTCTTACGATGCACCGAGGGCTTTACGATTACTCCAGAGCACTCGTAGAGCTACGATGATTATCAAGTGCTACTTAAGTTACGATGCTTTTGGGAAACAGACCATAATGTTCAGATCAGTCGTATGATTGTTTTTACGAACTTCTTAGGCTTACAAAGCTTTTGGGAAACGCAGCCTAGGCCCGTAACCAGCTTTGAGGCTGGTTACGGTAAATTTTTCATGTTCAAAAATAAAATTTGTTCTTTGAATGTCTAATTTGCTGTTAAACTCCTCATATGAATGCCTGCATGACCTGTATAATTCGGTTTAGACAGTTTGCAAGAATGTTTAGCGTCAGTTCCAGCTATTATAACCGTTTTTGGACTGGCCTTTTCCACTTAATTTAACACTTTAGAAAGTTAATAAAGAAGGAAGTTGCAGTTTAGAGTCAGCGATATCTTTATATTATCTTATTTGCAAAATATTGGAAATATTTTCGGTTTATTTCAATTTATTTTTAGTTTTTTTGTTTGTTTTAGTGTCAGTATCGGGCAACAACATGCATCGCCGGAACTTAAACAGAAAGCAATCAAAAAAGCCCATGGACAGGTTTTTGCAAAAAAAGAGAAACGCAAAAATTATCATGGTATTATCTGTCATAAACGTTATCAACGCTGTCAAAAACAGTAGCATTTAACACTGGTACACACAGATCTGTAGAACAAGTAGCTTACAGAATGAAATGAAATACGCAAAAACTAGCCACGTCATTCATTATGGTTACATTTTCACAAATCATGCCATAAACTTTCATAAGAGCACTAGACAAAGTTATTGTAGTTATGTATTGTTGCAATAAACAACTGATAAAAGTATCCACCCTTAAATATAGTAAAGCATTAACACATTTTGATGCAATAAATAGGGTATGATTTAAAAATCCAAGTGTGTTTGTGTTGTTCTTACCTGTAGTCTCTACGAGGAGATTCACCAGTAAAACAACAATAATCCACAGCATTCCTGCAGACAGACTCCAATAAAACAAACTCTGAGAGAGATTCTTCCAGAATAAATCACATGAGAGACATAATCGATGCTCAGTGAGGAAGCAAACTCACCGGAGACCAAATCAAATCAATTCAGATATAAGCAGTGGGAATCCAAACGTGCTCCTGACTTTCCTCCAGTTTTACTTTCACTTTCTGAACATAAGGTCAGATGGCGCCTCAATAAGACAGTCATCAGATGAAGAATAGCGCTTCGTATTCGGTGTGATTCTGTCAGATGGGATTTTGTGTAATGTTACTTGCATAGGCTATGTGTGGAAAATCTACACTTGCCGCTTTGACACGTATGAGATTGTTTTTCTCATTTTGTCTTGTTATATTGACTGTAGAAAAATATATCAAGAGGGAAAAGCCCTATGTGATATCAATAGTGTGACAATAATAAGCAGAACTGACGGCCAGCTAGAAGAAGCTTCTTCATTCTGTTCCTGTGTTTGATGGATGAACATCTTTTGTCATTTTTACCTTGATTTGTATAGCTCTTTATACAAAGCAGCTTTACAGAGTTCAGCAGGACAATAGTTCTAGAAGCTCCCGCTGTGCAATTCATTGGTAAGAAATGAGGGATGTTGCATCTATTCAACTAATTGTTTGTTCATTAGTAATATCCAGAATAGGGCTGTAATCGCGATGACAACTATGGATGCCAAATCGTTCAAAGCGGCAATTAATCGTTCAAAGTCCACTTATGTTATTCTGCACGCTTAAGACGTGTTTTTTCTTTCTACAGCTTATCTTACGGGTTTTTCCATTGTTTTAGTTGCAGTTTTAGTAGCCTATAACATTATAATACCATAGATATTTGTACTTTTTTTAATTTAAAGAAGAAACCCATGTATAGTTGACATTTAAGGCTTAGTACACTCTTAAAAATGCTGGGTTGTTTCAACCCAACTTTGGGTCAAATATGGACTAACCCAGCTGATGGGTTAAAAATGTAATTATGTATTATATTAAATGTAACCCAGCAGCTGGGCTTGTCCATATTTGACCCAAAGTTGGGTTGAAACAACCCAGCATTTTTAGAGTGTAGGCTCCTATAGAAAAGCAGTGAACGTTTTTCAGGAAGAGCTTGTTTATTTTCATATTAAAATATAGAATGCAGTTGCTTCAAACATCATTCAGTGTAAATTGTGATAATCATAATCGCAATTACAATTTCAAGGGAATAATCGACAATTGGGATTTTTGTCATAATCGTGCAGCCCTAATCTAGAATAAATGTCCTATTTTAAAAACCCTATTGTGTTGTATATAGCGGATCGGAGAATACATGGATCTAGTTTATGTGGTACAGTGTGGTGAAGAGTGACTGGACCCGACCGGACCTGCTGTCTGATTGTGAGGTGCCACAACTGTGATCTGTGTTAGAGAAGGAAAGAGTAACAGAGCATTTTACGTTCATTGGAAGGTTTACAAAAGTGGACCCAAAAGTCGCGTATCAATCAAATCAAGTTTAGATCAAGTGTCTGTATCTGTGGGATCATTTCACTTCACTAACCTCACTTTTCTTCTTCATGTCTGAAGTCTCAGTTTGTTTGAATCAGCTTGTGTTGTGGTCGTTTCTAGTGGATGAATGAAGTGAGTTCACAAGAAAAACTCTTCACAGCGTTTAGATTACTGATTTATTTAATGTGGCTTTGCTAACAATGCCACTTAGCTGTAAATCCATCCGCCCGTCCATCTATCAGAAGAGTTATTTATACTGGAGCTCTTCAGGGTCTTAGGTTATGTATGTGTACTATTTACAACTCTGATTCTTACCAGCAGCTACAGAATGGCACGGAGAGAGCCCCATCTACAGGCAGGTGAGAAATCATCTGAGTTTGATCAATACTGTAGAGATCACTGCTGCACTGTAATGCCTCCTGGATCATTCCGTATTAATGAATAACTGAGAATATATAATCACTCAAGCACACATTATAACCAGCTTAGAGGAAATCACTGGTTAGCAATTAGAAATCAGTCCCTGTGTTTACTTTTCTCAGTTTTGTGTCCAGCAGAAAAGCTAATGCCAAAAGCCTTGCATGATCCTCGGGTGTTTTCTCTGGCCGCACCCACATGTTTTCTGTTTTAATCTGGACATGTTTAGCCATTTAATCACCTTTAAGATCTTCTGACGCAGAGACTGAAGGACCGGTTCAGCAGGGCCTTCAGATCTCAGTGTCTCTGCTGGGGAAGCTTCATCTTCAACCGTAAGATCATGTCTGAAGAACCAGCTGCTGTAGGGATTTCACATAGAGCTTTGCATTCAGTTTGACCAGGTGTGAGTGTGGTTCCAGACTGAGTCTCTATAGGGGTAAGAGTGGATTTACTCAGTCTTTTTTTGATGTGCATATGCATTACATTGGAGCTCTTCAAATGCAGAATGAAACTAAATCCTATACAGCAAAAAAAAAAAAAAATATATATATATATGTATGTATGTACAGTATATATACACACTCAGGGCAAGAGTTACTTACAGTAAGTTGTCCCTTTGACAATCAGGCACAAGCACAGTGCATGGACTATTATACAGTAGAGTAAATGCATGTCATGCGTAATGAACCAGAATTTACAGTTTGCATGTTCATTGCTGAGATTTTACACTGATATACATGAAACCGTGCACAGATGACACCAGTACATCTGCTGACCTGATGATATCAAACACAGAGCGCTGTGTGTTTGTGAGCGTGATGTGTGTGTGTTACATCTGTTAGACGCTCTTTAACCCCTGTAATCACACTCAGACTGTAATAATAGCACATGACGCGGTTCATTGTCCCTCTTCACTTGCTCTAACGAGGTTTAACAAGGCGTAAGCAGACGGAACGGGACTGAAGAACAGTGGTGGGGTTTGAGTCATGACTTCTCTCAAGCTCAGCACTCGTGTGTCTGTGTTTCCTACATCTCTTTCAGATCCCATTCTCTCCTAGAGCGCTGAGCACAAATTATATTTCAAATCTGAGTTCTGATGTTTTATATGAAATATAAAAACTGTTCTCATTCTGGGGTTGTTTTCAAAATAGTTTTTAAAATTCACATAATTAAAATTAGAATTTAGTTTTGGTGTTAATTATTTAAAAATTGGTAATCGGTTAAGATTGCAAAAGCTCATATAATACCCAGTTTGACCTTTAGGGGTCACCATTTCAGGCTCTGTTTTGTACTCTATTCTCAGTTTAAACTGCATCAGTGTGGAGATGAGTGTTTGCTGAACCTGAACTGAGGTTGTTGGATCTCTTTGTGTTACTGTCATCAGATGTGATGTTCTGACTGATGTAGTCTCTTTGAGTCGCTGACAAACACGCTTCTCAACTGATGGCTCATGACATTGTGACAGAAACACCAATGCCCAAGTGAATAAAAAAATAAATTAAAAAAGGGGGTTGTACAAAACAGATTTTTTCCCCATGAGATTGTTTAAAAATGTTTTTAATTTGCAAATTTAATAATTTAATATTTTGCAAATTAAAGCATTAAACTGAGTAAAAATGAATAATGAAAAACTAAAAACCAAATAGAAATCTGCTTCCTGTACTGGTTAAAACTAACCAGTTAAAGTTAAAATGGAAAAACTAAATAGCAAACGTTATGCTGTGTAAAAATGGACAATGAAAAAAGGTATGTGTGAGAGAGAGAAACTGACTAGGAAACATTTTCATAAGATTATTTTAAAATGTTTTTATTTGCACATTTAATCATTTGCAAATCACAGCGTGAAGATGAAGTGAAGGTTAGCACTAAATTAAATGTTTACAGTTAATTATCTATGCTGATAAAGTGAGACTGAGAATATAAAAGAGAAGCACAAAAGGAAACAGTGATGATGCTGTTGATTCTTGAGTGATTGTTGTGTGACCCACAACATGTGATGGAAACTTGGATTGAGTCAAGAAGCTTTAATCTGAATGTTCAAAAGAACGCTTGATTCTTTCCTCCATCAGATCATTAGCTCTTATAACAACCGCATACACAAGCATGATGAGCTAACATGATCTCTCTCTGTGTTTTCTGTCAGGAGCGAGAGCTGTCTCAGGCGGAGCTGGACGGTGAGTATCACACCTCAGATCATCACATCACATCTCAGATCATTACACCTCAGATCATCACATCTCATCTCATCCCATCCCATCCAGATCATCACATCACATCTCATCTCATCCCATCCCATCCAGATCATCACATCACATCACTGATCATCACATCCCATCCAGATCATCACATCACATCACTGATCATCACATCCCATCCAGATCATCACATCACATCACTGATCATCACATCCCATCCAGATCATCACATCACTGATAATCACATCACATATCAGATCATCACATCACATCATAGATAATCACATCACATCATAGATCATCACATCACATCACATATCAGATAATCACATCACACCACACCTCAGATAATCACATCACATACAATAACATCTCAGATCATCACATCACATCTCAGATCATCCCATCCCATCCAGATCATCACATCACTGATAATCACATCACATATCAGATCATCACATCACATCATAGATAATCACATCACATCACATCATAGATAATCACATCACATCACATATCAGATAATCACATCACACCACACCTCAGATAATCACATCACATATAATCACATCTCAGCTCATCCCATCACATCACATATCAGATAATCACATCACACCACACCTCAGATAATCACATCACATATAATCACATCTCAGATCATCACATCACATCACATATCAGATAATCTAATCACATCTCATATCAGAGCATCACATCATAGATCATCACATATCAGATCATCACATCTCATCCCATCCCATCCAGATTCAACAGACCCATCACTTTATCAAAATTTCACCATCCAGTTAGGCTCATCAACCATAACTCCTTCAAAAACAGCTAGAAACCTATGTTGTGATTTAAGATAAGCTGCATTTCTCAGACCACATTGCTAAAACTGCCCGGTCATGCAGATTTGCTTTATACAACAGACTTGTCATTTGCACTTATATGTTGTTGCTCTTTTGTTAGTTTTGACTGCTTTTATTGTCCTCATTTGTAAGTCGCTTTGGATAAAAGCATCTGCTAAATGACTAAATGTAAATGTAAATGTATATATATATATACATATATATATGATATATATGATATACACTAGCAGTCAAAAGTTTTTGAACAGTAAGATCTTTAATGTGTTTTAAAGAAGTCTCTTCTGCTCACCAAGCCTGCATTTATTTGATCCAAAATACAGCAAAAACAGTAATATTGTGAAATATTTTTACTATTTAAAATAACTGTTTTCTATTTGAATATATTTTAAAATGGAATTTATTCCTGTGATTTCAAAGCTGAATTTTTAGCATCATTACTCCAGTCACGTGATCCTTCAGAAATCATTCAAATATTCTGATTTGCTGCAAAAAAAAAAAATATATATATATTATTTTTATGATGTTGAAAACAGCTGAGTAGAATTTGTCAGGTTTCTTTGCTGAATAGAAAGTTCAGAAGAACAGCATTTATCTGAAATATAAATATTTTGTAACATTATGAATGTCCTCATCATCACTTTTGATCAATTTAAAGCATCCTTGCTAAATGAAAGTATTAATTTCTATAATTTCTTTCCCCAAAAAAATAAATACTACTGACTCCAAGCTTTTGAATGGTAGTGTGTATAATGTTACAAAAGCTTTTTATTTCAGATAAATGCTGATCTTTGGATCTTTCTGATCATCAAAGAATCCTGAAACAAATGTACTCAACTGTGTTCAACATTGATAATAATCAGAAATGTTTCTCGAGCAGCAGATCAGCATATTATACTGATTTCTGAAGATCATGTGACACTGAAGACTGGAGGAATGATGCTGAAAATACAGCTGCGCATCACAGAAATACATTACAGTTTAACAGAGATTCACAGAGAACACAGCTGTTTTACACTGTAATATGATTTCACAATATTACTGCTTTTGCTGTACGTTGGATCAAATAAATGCAGGCTTGGTGAGCAGAAGAGACTTCTTTAAAACACATTAAAGATCTTACTGTTCAAAATGTTTTAACTGGTAGTGTATGTATGTATCATTGCATCTAGTTGTTCTGGATAAGAATAAAACGTCAGGTCTGACAATATCGTGTCTTTTTTCATTTAAATCTAGAATTATTCGCATTGGCTCACGGAAACCTCTATGAACACACTTGGCTTGACTTGGCCAAAAAAACCACGGGGGAGGAATTAACGTTTTATTAAAAAGTGTTTTCGTATTCTACACTCATGGCGCGCACACATTAGGATAGTTTAGATGCCTGCCTCCGCTGCGAGTCCCTATCAAGCACTTTACAGATTGAACTACTCTCTTCTCCTCCTCCTCTCTGGCTCTTTGGCCCGCATCACTCACCGCAGAGCAAGCCTGTTCCTGATAAAGCTGCTGTGAAAACCTGGAGAAGCCGACGAGGAAGACGTTGGAGTGAAGCGATCTTTATATAGGCGGAGCATTGTGATTGGGTGGTTTACGCTGTCAACACAGGAGACAGTCCAATGGGCCACTGGCTGCTCGTGATCGTGTCTCCGTTCTCCTCCGCTTCTGTGTGTTCAGTCGGGGGTCTGATGGATTTAGAAGATGGGCCCCGGGATGATGATGGAGACGGCGCATTTGCTGGGCCTCAA